CGGCACTTTTTCGAGGGGTGGCGCGGCGCCGCCCCCCCCTCCTCCTCCAACGGACACTAAGTACAGGGGTGGGCACAGGGGCTGCTGTACCTTACCTGGCTCCGGTCCCACGACGATCCGGTCCAGGAAGCGTGGCTGCTCCTTCTTTCAGTTCGGCCGCTCGATGGTCACGCGGCCGCTCGGCTCCGCCTCCTCACTGGTGATTGGGCGCCAGCACTGGAAAGGCACACAGGCGACCAATCACCGGCGAGGAGGCGGAGCCGAGCGGCCCCGCGAAAATCGAGCGGCCGAACTGGAAGAAGGAGCAGCCGCTCCTCTCCCCCACTGACACTAACGATGGGGCACTATTCCTCCCCCACTGACACCCAACGATGAGGCACTGTTCTCCCCACTGATACCAATGGGGGCACTATTCCTCCCACTGACGCCAATGATGAGGGTTCTCCCCACTGATACCAACGATGGGGCACTATTCCTCCCACTGACACCAACGATGGGGCACTATTCCTCCCACTGACACCAACGATGGGGCACTATTCCCCCACTGATACCAATGATGGGGCGCAAACTCCTGCCACTGACACCAATGATGGGGCGCAACTCCTGCCACTGACACCAATGACGGGGCGCAATTCCTGCCACTGACACCAATGACGGGGCGCAATTCCTGCCACTGACACCAATGACGGGGCGCAATTCCTGCCACTGACACCAATGACGGGGCGCAATTCCTGCCACTGACACCAATGACGGGGCGCAATTCCTGCCACTGACACCAATGACGGGGCGCAATTCCTGCCACTGATACCAATGATGGGGCGCTATTCCTCCCACTGACACCAATGATGGGGTGCTATTCCTCCCACTGACACCAATGATGGGGTGCTATTCCTTCCACTGACACCAATGATGGGCCGCTATTCCTCCCACTGATACCAATGATGGGCCGCTATTCCTCCCACTGACACCAATGATGGGACACTATTCCTCCCACTGACACCAATGATGGGACACTATTCCTCCCACTGACACCAATGATGGTGCACTATTCCTCCCACTGACACTAATGATGGGCACTATTCTCCCACTGACACTAATGATGGGGAACTATTCCTCATCATTGGGGGCACTATGGGAGGAATAATGTGGGGGCCCATCATTGGTATCAGTGGGAGGAATAGTGTCCCATCATTGGTATCAGTGGGAGGAATAGTGCACCATCATTGGTGTCAGTGGGAGGAATAGTGCCCCATCATTGGTGTCAGTGGATGAAATAGTGCCCCATCATTGGTGTCAGTGGGAGGAGTAGTGCCTCATCATTGGTGTCAGTGGGAGGAATAGCACCCCATCATTGAATACCATACTGAAATAGCATACCATATTGAAATCAAATCGGATGTTTTTTCATTTTTATTTGGTGTGCGTTGGAAGAGGGGTAGGTCTTATACGGCGAGTATAGCTCAAACCCTATATTTTAACAGGAAAAGTAGGGGGTCGTCTTATACGCCCAGTCGTCTTATACGCCGGAAAATACGGTATATATCTCTCTATCACTTTTCTTAACTTTCTGCTAGAAAACATCCAATAAAATTATTATCAAATTTCTTCATAAATTTTAGGCCAAAATGTATTCTGCTACATACCTTTATTAAAAAAAACAAAACAAAAAAACCCCAAAACAACCCAATAAACCTAAATAAATTGGTATGCGTGAAGGTTTTAGCATCTATAAAAAAATATGGGATATATACTGGATATACCTTAATTTCTAATACTACTAGTGATGGCGGCGATCTGCAACTTATAGCGGGACTGTGATAGTGCTGCGGACAATCTGGCACTTTGTTGGAACTAGCTAACTGACATCACCAGCGACACCAATACAGTGATCAGGGCTAATATACACTGTCGCTGTACTAATGACACTGGCTAGGAAGGTGTTAATATTCAGAGGCAATCAAAGGGGTCTACTGTGGGTGCCTAACAATGTGTAATGTGTTTAGGGTGTGGTGTTTTCACTTCCTGCTTTGCACAGAAAAAAAAAAAAACAAAAAAAAAAAAAAACCAGAAAACCCAGAAGGGCTGGATCACGTACATGTACGTGATCCAATGCAGAGAGGCTGACTTGCCACAGTATATGATATAAAATATGCGGCGGTCGGTAACTGGTAAAGTAGAACTATAGGAAAAACATTTTTTACCCCATTTCGGATAGAGTACAGTTGCAAGAAAAAGTATGTGAACCCCTTGGGATTACGTGGAGTTTTGCATGAATTGGGCATAAAATGTGCTCTGAACGTCATCTAAGTCACAACAATAGAAGAACACAGTCTGCTGAACATAATACTACACAAACATTAGATGTTGCCATGGTTTAATTGCACATAACATGTAAACATTCACAGTGCAGGGAGGAAAAAGTATGTGAACCTTTGGACTTAATAACTGGTTAACCCTCCTTTGGCAGCAATAACCTCAACCAAACGTTTCCTGTAGTTGCAGATCAGACCTGCACAACGATCTGGAGTAATTTTGGACCACTCCTCTTCACAAAACTGTTTCAGTGTAGCAATATTCTTGAGATGACTGGTGTGAATCGCTCTTAAGGATCATGCCACAGCATTTCAATCGGGTTGAGGTCAGGACTCTGACTGGGCCACTCCAGAAGGCGTATTCTGTGCTGTTGCAGCCATTGTTTTGTTGAATTACTGGTATGCTTTGGGTCATTGTCCTGTTGCATCACCCATCCTCTGGGGAGCTTCAGTTGGCGGACAGATGGTCGTACGTTTTCCTGCAAAATGTCTTGATAAACTCTGGAATTCATTTTCCCATCAATAACAATCCGTCCAGGCCCTGACGCAGCAAGCAGCCCCAAGCCATGATGCTCCCTCCGCCATGTTTTACAGTGGGGATGAGGTTTTGATGTTGGTGTGCTGTGCCTTTTTTTCTCCACACATAGTGTTGTGTGTTCTTCCCAAACAACTCAATCTTGGTTTCATCTGTCCACAGTATATTTTGTCAGTAGTGCTGTGGAACATCCAGGTACTCTTTTGCAAACTTCAAACGTGCTGCAATATTCTTTTTTGGACAGCAATGACTTCCTCCGTGGTGTCCTCCCATGTACTCCATTCTTGTTTAATGTTTTCCTTATTGTCAACAAAAATGTTAGCATGTGCCAGAGATTTCTGTAGGTCTTTAGCTGACACTCTGGGATTCTTCTTTACCTCATGCAGCATTCTGCGCTGTGCTCTTGCAGTCATTTTTACAGGACGACCGCGCCTAGGGAGAGTAGCAACAGTGCTAAACTTTCTCCATTTGTAGACAGTCTGTCTTACCGTGGACACATGAACATCAAGGCTTTTGGAGATACTTTTGTAACCCTTTCCAGCTTCATGCAAGTCAACAATTCTTGATCGTAGGTCTTCTGAGAGCTCTTTTCTGCGAGGCATGGTTCACATCAGACAGTGCTTCTTGAAACCAGTAAACCCAAAACAGGTGTGTGTTTTTTTAAGGGCAGGACAGCTGTCAGCAACACATCCAATATCATCACACTGATTGGAGTCAAGGTTGGCTCACTCCTGGCTCCAATTAGCTCTGGGAGAAGTCAATAAGCTAGGGACTCACATACTTTTTCCTCTCTGCACTGTGAATGTTTACATGTTATGTGCAATTAAACCATGGCAACATCTAATGTTTGTGTAGTATTATGTTCGGCAGACTGTGTTCTTCTATTGTTGTGACTTAGATGACGTTCAGAGCACATTTTATGCCCAATTCATGCAAAACTCCACGTAATCCCAAGGGGTTCACATACTTTTTCTTGCAACTGTACCTTTTGTTTTCTGTTCCAATAACCACACAGAAAAGATACCTTCCCCATGGGACAAATAACTATAAATAAAAGCTGGTAGGGACTCTAACCCTTACACATTTTACTATATAAAGTGAGTCGGGAACTCTCCCCAGCAGAGGGCATTTTCAGCAATAGAAAAAAACTTTAGCAGATAGAAAATCTTCATTAAACCATTTATGCAACATGAATTATATAACAGCTCTATCTAAATATTGCAGACCCTGCCATATGAATTCTTTTTTCCTTTGACTTAATTCATCAAGCTAAACTGATTATTTGCAATTACAACCGTTTTTTTTTTTTTTTTTTACCAATGACAGTTGAATGTAGAATTGTCACAGTGTTAAGAGAAAAAGAGACAAATTGTTAATGCTGCTGTTATAAATATATATGAGAAAGTTCTTTATGATTCATCATTTATTATATTATTACAGTCTATGCATTAACTCTAATGTTTTGCGTAGTATTATGTTCAGCAGATTGTGTTCTTCTATTGTTGTGACTTAGATGACGTTCAGAGCACATTTTATGCCCAATTCATGCAAAACGTCACGTAATCCCAAGGGTTCACATACTTTTTCTTGCAACTGTAATGCAGGGTTATAACCCCTGTAAAGTTTATTTTTGCCCTCTTTGTCCCTTCGGGGAGATTTACATTCACTTCTTGTCCTATTGCCAAAACAGCAAGTGAGAAGAAATCCCTACAAATTAAAGCAATCTTTTAGGGACCCCCAGGTCAGCAGAATTAGTGTCCCCATTAGAAGTTCACCCCCATTACTTTTCTGGAGACAACCCAAAAACTGTGGTTTTCTTTTGCTTTCAATTTAGTTATACTTTAATTCGATGTGAAATCATTCTAAAAAAGATAGCAGAAGTGAGAAGCCATCAATATTTGCTAAATTCGCTCATAAAAACAATCAGTTCATCAAATGAGATCAGTGTGTACATAGACTACACAAGATGTCTTTGAACTGATGTCATGACACAGCCAGGCCAAGGAATCCAAAAACCAACATCTGGTCACTATAGTCTGCAAAAAGGTACAAAAATCTGCCAACTGGTTCAACCAGCCAGCACCAACCAAGGAATTAAATAACAGTTATGGGTGGGGCTATCTCCAAGTTCTCACATTTGTAAAGATACTCACAGCATCAAATTGTTTGAAGAAGTCCTCAGATTTAGCTTCAATGTTTTCTGTGTCCACTTTCACTTTGACATTTGGGTTGAGATTCTGAGCCCGCTTTTCAGAAGCCTCTGCTCTGTTGCTACCAAGTGATCCATTAGGTATTAAGAACTGGGCCCGAGAGTTGTCTTCTGACACCTGGAGAAAAAAAAAATATAGCGTTTTTCAGGTGTCCTAAAAATGAGAAAGCCTTTTATAAAGGGCAAGTGCACTTATTTAGCCCCATTTCCTTCTCATTAGTATATTCAGAAATACCAGAACAAACTTTGAATGCTGAATCTAACACAGCCTGCGCAGGGTCAGACAGTGCTTTAATCCTAAGTGTCTGGCTTTCATATGATTTAAAAACATGCCCAGCCTGTGCAGGTTGGGGTGCCGTAAACAAACTGTATATTCGTTTTTGTTACAGAAATGCAATTATGCCAAGGTGGGCAAAGGGGTCACATAAGGTTTATTGTATGACTTCATTGCCCTGTAGTAAGAAAAAAAAAATTAAGTCACTTAAAAATCTACAGAAGGGAGATTGACTGCCACCTTGTGGTAATCAGAATGCAATTGCAATGCATTATTGTACAGTAGAAAAAGAAGATTCCTTAAAGCAGAGTTCCAGCTGAAAAAAAAAAAAAAAAAAGTCGTCAGCTTCAAAAACTATAGCTGCTGACTTTTAAAATATACAGTCACTTGCTTGTCCCTCAGTCCAGCGGTGTCCCCACCACGTCTGGTTTAACCAACCGTCTTCTCTCCCTGGCTCTGGCATCTCCAGTGTGAGCACCCCGCTGTGAAAGCTTGCAGCTTCACAGCCAGGTGCCCATTGCGCATGCGTGAGAAGTGACCTGTTGTGTCCCAGAAGACTACAGGGAGGGGGGTGGGAGAGACACCACTTACACTTACGATCGCCTGAGGCAATTGCAGCGGAAGTGGGTACCCTCTCCCCAAAGGTGCCAATCCTTAATGGGGAGTGGGGGACAAAAGATTTAAAGCAGAACTTCCCCTTTTTGGTGGAGCTCTGCTTTAAAGTGGTTCTAAAGGATGATGGTTTTTACCTTATACCTTCTATGCAGTGTGCAGCTGCCCCCTCTTATATCTACCCAAGCCCAATCTCAAAGCAGCGATGTGCAGGAGCTCTCCGGGGTCTCTCCCTCCTCACTGGCTGACACCCATAAGCAGTAGCAGCTCCCACTGCTGTCAGTCATATTCAGTGAAGGAGCGGGGCCAAGTTGCCCTCTTATAAAGACACACAGAGGCAGCTTTGAAGCTAGCACAAAGAGTGCCGGCGGCGGACCTGAGAAAAGGAAGATCAGGGCTGCTCCAGTGCCGGTCTTTAAATGTAATTACCGTCTTTTTTTTTTTTTTTTTTTTTTTTTACTATAGCTCAGAGAATCAGCTGTCACTTTCCCCCCAGCTAAAAGAAAGAAAGTTCCCTTTTAGTTTGTTTCCCGAGAAAAAAAAGTATCCTTTAGCTCCGGTTAAAGTGACAACCAATTCTGTGAGCTATAGTGAAGAAAAAAAAAAAAAAAAAAAAGCCGGCAATTGCATTTAAAAAATTGGCACGGAGATACACTTCGTTTTGCAAAAAAAAAAATTAATAAACCAAGGCATTATTTTCAATGGATTTTAATTTGTAAACCAAAACGTACGGCAACCATGGTGTACGTGTGTGTGTGTATTTTTTATTATAATATTGGGACCTTTAGTATCACTTTAAAGCAGGGGTGTCCACCCTTTTGACCTCCCTGGGCCACACTGGAAGAAGAGGAGTTGTCCTGGGCCACACATAAAATACACTAACAATAAGGATAGCTCAGGAGCAGAAAATGTCTGACAGATCACAAGTTAATGATCGCTGACACAGATTTGCTAAAGGATTTTGCATGTGTTATGAAGGTCACATGACCAATTTTTCAGAAATATTGCATGAAATAATAAAAGTGTCAAATTCAAGTAAAATATTGAATGTGTGCCAAGTACTGCATTTGTTAAAAAATGTGAAGTAAATAGTGCAAAAAAAGGAAGGCAGTGCGTATTCTTGTAATGCACAAAACAACTAGGGGAACTCTGCACTGGCCAGTAAATTAAAAGTATACAGTACAATGATTCAGTATAGAAATGTTCTCCTCTGAGCTCATCAGATATTTTGGTTCTAATTTTGCCCTTCGCGTGCTTCATCCTTGAAAATAGTTGCTCACAAATATAGGTGCTGCCAAAAACGGAGGACATGAATAAGATGTGATTGTGAAGAGTGGGAGATTTTTCTATGGGAAGATAAAGCTTCTAAAAAAGTCCATTAAAAGAGACACTGTCAAATTTTTCTTTGGCTGCATGTGTTCACTAAGCATAAACGCATTTTTACAAAAATCTACATTTTAAGCAAGTTTACAATTTTGTGTTGGGCCACACGTTGGACACCCCTGCCTTAAAGGATAACTTCAGGCACGTCTATACTACACATAGTTGCATTGGTCCAGCTTGGACAATTGTAACTGTATAGCATAACTGACTGATCCCCTGGAAGTTGAAAATAAGCAAAGTAGACCCTGTCACAGCTCAGCAAGGGACCCAGAAGTGGATAACACTGAAATAGTGGTGTCTACTTAGTTACACTGGTCCAAGTTGGCCCAATGTAACTGTATATTATACCTACACCTGGAATTCCTTTTTAAAGGATGTGTACGTGGAAAAACATTGGTCCTTCTGCAGCACCAAAAAGGCAATGGCACACTGTAGTTACACAACCCTTATTGACGACATGCCCTGGACTGCGTTGTATTCACCAGCTCTTATATTGGGCACATATGCGGAGATCAAGACAGGGTCTTGGCAGAATGGCCATTCTTCAACAGACATCTTCAACCACTGAATGTAAATGCACCTAGGAGGTCTATACACACCTAAACCTCACAAACAACATAACCTGTTGGTGGGACAGTACGCATTTATAGGAGGATATTCTACAGTAAACAAAAAAAAAAAAAAAAAAAAAAAAAAAAAAAAAATATCACAGAAATTCAGTATCTGTAAGGTTCCATGCACACTGGTTTCTCTTTAGGTTCCTAGAAGCGAACAATGTTATCCTATGTGTCCTTGGACACGATTTTAGGCTATTAAGAGTTTTTCAAGATTCAGCATTTAGCAGGAAAAAAAAAAAAAAATAATAAAAATGTATTTTTAGAGGTTTTTAGGAGCTTTTTTCCCAGCAGAAACACACACACACACACTCACCTAACAGCTTCCCCCCCCCCCCTCTCTCTTACATGTACTGTAAAAACATGACTACAAGCTGGCACAAGAACACTATTAGCATCTTTCATCCAGCTTGTTTTTTTGAGCTTATTTAAAAAAAATAAAAAAAAACCCACATGGAGCCCAAATATTGTATAGGTCATCTTAATTTTTTAAAGTGGAACTATACTACATCTAAACACGACAAACAAAAAATGCTATTTAATTCATTTTTAATATCCAAAGTAAACTTCCCTATCGATTCAGGTCTTCATGAGAAATCACTTTGAGAAACACCCCATAGCATTTTTGCCTGTGGCCAACTTGGGTAAATGTAGATGATTCGTATAGATTACTTCCTGGAATCCATCTGCCCTTAGCTCAGCAATGCAGGCAGGAGGGTGTGCTTAGATTAGAAAACCCCTCCTGAAGTCTCTAGGGATGCATGGCATTTGCCTAGGCATGGAGACCAGGAAGTAACTGATTAAATGTAAAAAAGAGATAAATAAATCAAACAAATAAACATAAAACATTGTATCTTTCTATTTACTAATGATAGAGGCATAAGGATTAAAAATAGTCATTGCTGACTGAGAGACCCAAGTTCCACTTTAAAGTATAACCAACATTTTAGTTTTTGATACAGTGGACGGGGTATTAAAACACCAGTGAGGTTTTTATTGCTGTCTGTGTCCCCATTAGCGAGATTAACACTCTCTATTTGTCCTGTTTACCATTATCACCAAGAGTGAAAAATTATTTTTGGATTGTCACCAAAACAGAAGTAGGGGAATCTTCCAATGGGTACACTAGTTCTGGTGACAACCATGCTTTCCCTCACTTTGGTGGGATTTCCTGTTTTTGCTATGGGACAGGAAATGAATTGAAATGTCTCAAAACTTTACTTGGGATTGAGTGTTGAAAACCTGTCGAAACAAAAAAAAAAAAAAAAAAAAAAAAAAAAAAAAAAAAAAAAGCAAATGCAGAGTAGCGTGCTGATCTTCAGAACCTGGGAAGAACACTTCCTTTACCCTGGGCATACTATACTTTTACTGGGCTCTCTTTTCAGCATCTCCTGTATCGTGAGACAGCCCCACAGACATCTATGTGGACTGACAGGGAAAGGATCAGCTTGGGCAAGTAAGAATTAGGCCAGAGGTGCTGAAGATTACTGCAGGTCACATTCATCTGGTTCAGGTAAAAAAGGACCTGAATCAGTTGAGCAAAAAGGAGAACTGCATTCTCAAATCAACAGGTTTTATCTTATAAAAAGTATTAATTTCTTGGCTAAATTCAAGGCCCGGGTTGGTTTCATCATCTTTCGTTATGGCTGGGAATTCTGAATGCAATAATTAAAGCAGAGTTCCACTCACTCTGTAAAAAAATAAAAGTCAGCAGCTACAAAAACTGTAGCCGCTGACTTTAACAACCACTCTCCTGTCCCACGATCCTGAGTTGCCCCAGCCGTAGCCCATTTCACTGGCCGTCCTGTATTCCAGGCGCCGACATCTTCAGTGTGGGTACCTGGCTGTGACAGCTTGTGGCTTCACAGCCAGGTGCCCACTGTGCATGCGCAAGAAGTGCTGTGGTTACTGAATGGCTCCATCGTCTTCTGGGACCTGTCACGTGTCCCACAAGACTACGGGGAGGGAGGGTAAGATGACAACTTCCGCTTCCGATCGTCCCACCCTTTTGGGTGAAACTCCGCTTTAAGTTTGGCACAAAAAAATATTCCATGGTGGTTTTCTAGATGAAATGTTTATCAGGTAGAAACAAATAAACCACTGGCCCTCCTGAGGATTTACCCCCCCCCCCCCCCTCCCCGACCAGGCCATTTTTTGCGTTACTGCACTGCGTTATTTTGACTGATAATTGCACAGTCATGCAAAGCTGCCTACAAATTAAATTTACATCCTTAT